GGAAAAGAGTGAGAGATCAATCCCTCGACAGCAACTGACATGGATCAGTTCTCAAGGAAGCTAGAATTTAGAGAACAAAGTGGGGGAGAGAAACCATAAGAGGGAAGTTTAGAGAGCAAAGACGTGTGCCATACCCTGTCAAATGCTTTGGCGATGTCGAGGGCCACAACGAAAGTTTCCCCATAATCACTAAGAGAGAATGACCAAAGATAGGTGCAGTAGGAGAGCGGATCACCAGTAAATTTTGTCTGACGAAAGCCATACTGGTGGTCCGACAAAAGAGAAAGGCGTTCAAGGTGACGGAAAAAATGTGAGTTTGGGATATTTAAGAAAATCTTAGAGAGGAATAAATTTAGGGCTATGGGGGCGATAGTTAAGAGAGATTAGAATGGTCACCCTTCTTCAGGATGAGCTAAACCAAGGCATGCTTCTAAGAAGAAAGAAAAGTTTGGGTTTTGAGGCAAAGGTGAAAGAGGTGAGCAAGCACAGGGGCCAGAATTTCGGAACACCCCCTCAGAACACGAGGGGGTAGTCCAGCAACCCCATGGGTGGAGATTATAGGAAAGTGCATAGGTTCAGTAGGAAGAATAGGAGGGATAGAGTTGGAATTGTCTAAGGTGGAGTTAGAGCAGAATAAGATGCCAAAGAGATTGATTGGCTTTATCAGAGGGAGAGTTGGCTATAAAGTTATCAGGTTAGAAGAGAGGAGGAAATGAGGGAGTGTAGAAGTGATTACAGATGTTTTTGTTTAAGGAGCAGAGGGATTTAAGAGAAGGAGAGTTAATCAGGTCACCAGTCTTTCTTTTTTATAAAAGTCCAATTGGCCCTATGAAGAATAATCTTACAATGATTCATAGACGTAATGAAAGAGGAGTGAGTAACAGGAGAAGGAGATACAGTAGGGTCGGGATATATCGCGACTTTATATAAAGTCGGGAAATACTGTATCGCGAATTTATATAAAGATTTTATTATATTGCGGCTACCAAAATTATCAAAATTTTCCTATACGGTACAGCTGCTCCCCGACTTACGACGAGGTTAGGGACCCAAATCCAGGTCGTAAGTCAAAAATGCTTGAATAATACATAGAAAATCTAAAATGGGTGTCTCTTTTTCTTCTCAGCACCACAAAACTCTCACTTTTAAGCATGCCAGCCATTTTAAAGTGAATTACAAACGAAAATTTTGTCAGTACACAGCGCAATCACTGACGTTGGGACTCGAAAATACGTAATTTGACAAAATTTTGGTACGACTTAGGCGGTCATATGTCCGGGTGGTCGTAAGTCGGGAAGGAGCTGTACATAGCGAAAAAAAAATTATTTTGCGAGGGAAATCGGGCAGGAAATATTTTAAATGTACTGCCATGGCACACAAATGCGTGATTTGCTCACCAGAGGCACCAACGTGGCGGCTCACTCATGCATTCACGCTCGCCTGCTCAGTCTTTCTGAGTGAGTGATGAGAAAGCAGCCGACTGCTGCAGATTACGACTTCTAAGGTGAGTGTAAATGGGTTGCTAGTGATGTGAAAAGTGAAGTGAGGATAATGGAATGCTTAATGGAAATGATTTAATACTGTAACTAATATTTTTTGTTTGTTCATTTATGATTGTTAAGTGAGGGTGGTAGTGTGTCGACTGTTGTTCTCCGGATGGCGCGTCAGCTGCCGAGTCTGGTGCAGATTCAAATTTCTAAAGCAAGTGTAAATGGGTTGCTAGTGACGTGAAAAGTGAAGTGAAGATAATGGAAAGCTTAATGGAAAAGATTTAATACTGTAAGTAATATTTTTGGTGTTCGTTTATGTAGGTGTGGGATTGTCAAGTGAGGGTGGCAGTGTGGCGTCTGCTGCCGAGTCTGGTGTTCCCAGGATGGTGCGTCAGCTACCGAGTCTAGTGTTCCTGAGTCTGGTGTTCCTTCATATTGATATTGAAATAGCGTGTTGTTCCCGAGTCTAGTGTTCATTGGCGCTTTAATTAGTAAGAGAATGAACTCGTTAAATCAAGTTTAGTCACTTTTTGGGGCCTCCAGAACTTAACCCTATTTTCCCCATTGATTATATGTACAGTAATTATATATCCCGATTTAGTATAAAGCAAACATCGTTGGACCCTATCTAAGGATATATCCTGACCCTACTGTAGTTTCATAATGTGATATGCCCTATCTCTCTTCCTACATGCAAGGGAACAGGAGCGATCAAACCATGATTGTAAAGTGAAAGTTTTGGTAGAAGATGGGGTAAATGCACTCATACCACCTAGTATAACCCCAACAATGCTGTCAGCACATACCGAGGCATCCCGAGTGGAAAAGCAACATTCATCCCAAGGAAAGTCGGGGGAAGAATTCTTGCAAGGATTGCCAGTTTTCCCTCCAATAGTGCCATAGTTGGCATTTGGAGAGGGGTGGGGGAGGTGATTGTGCCCAGTTTGATTTAATAGAAATATGATTGTGATGAGAAGACCCTAAGGGGGCAGAAAATGAGTATGAATAGCGTGAGGGGTTAGAGGTAAAACAAAGATCAAGAATGTTAGTAAGCTGATAGTGTCAATCTGGAACATGTATAGGGTGTTTAATTATTTGTTCCAGATCATTAAGTAAGGGGAAAGAGATTGCCTCACCTTCACCTTCTCGGTTACACCGCATTTTTTTGCAGCAGCACAGTTGTTGTGTGACTTGGCATATGCTACCACTTTCAGCTTAAAACAAGCTTCATATCTCCTTCGTTCAGCATTTGGAGCCATGATGGGGTTTTATGGCAGCTGAATATTAATATAATGTTCACCCGGAGAGAGTGCTATTGCTTATGAAGGAGTGGCAACTTGAACCTATCCAAGAAACCATCTTTAAATACTGTACCGGTATTTAAAGACGGCTGTTTGTTTACTTCGGTGGCAGTTGCAAATGGCGGGTGGTGCGTGATGATTCCTGCGTTTATTATGTTGTTATTTTACGGTATTTATGGTATGTTAGGCAGGGTTATAATACATTTTAATTATTTTAATATACAGTGTAGTCTGCATTTACGCGGTCAATTGAACCCCTGGAGGTCCGTGTAAAACAAGAAACGCGTAAACGAAATAACAGAACACAAGTGATCGCGGGCCCTTCGTGCCGGGTGAAAGTTTGAACACTCGTGACAGCGTACAGCGAATGGGGGTGCGCCAAGTCTGTAGACTTGCATCGTTTTCCATCGTAAATAAAATGGTTAATTAATGCCTTCCTAAAGAAACCATCGACATAGGACCAGGTTTGTTCCACTCTACGAATTTTTTTTTATTTTTCCACCAAGTTTGATGAAAAACGATTGTGCTGTTTCGGCTGGCCAGAACAGACAGACACACGGCTATTCCTATAGTATATTAGATATGGGATTAATTGAAATAGAGACTGGGCCGACTCCCAAACTCCACTTTTTCCGACACAATACGTACCTTGTAGTAAAAATAACATCATAATTTTATGGTGGAATTGCTGCACACATAATATCTAAATAAAAAACGACAAATCTAAAGGTGTTTAACACTTACGTTAGTAGAAGAGATGGGTCGGCACACGTGGATGGCGGCAGGTTTTGAGGCAGAGGGCAGATTAGTTGCCTTCCGGTGAGTCACTTTCACTACTCGCAGAGGTTTGCAGGGCCTCCCAGACAAACCCCTCAAAGTCCATATCCTCACTGTCACTATCACTGACTTGGGCTGGCTGTGGTTGTGGTGGGTTGCGGGCGAAGAAGTCCTTAATACTACATTGACGACTAGCATTGATGTTGTGGAGATAAATCTGGATATACAGCTCCATAACTTTCGACAGAAGTTTATTAGACACTTCATACCGATGCTTGACTGGGTTTTTTCAAGGATGAGCTTAATTTTCTCCCTCAACTTGATGATTTCCTTCACATAATCATGGCTCGGTCCAGGTAATTCAAGGTTTTTCTGGGGTGGTGGGGGTCCAGCGGAAGCCATTGTGAGGGGAATAGCGGGCACAAGAGAGAACTGTATACGCGGATCGAGAACAATGAGACTGACCCGGCTAGGTCAGCGACTTCTGATGGCAAGGCACGTCATGTTACATTAGACCAATCACAGCTAACGGCGGAGGGAATGTGTGGGTGGTAAGGATGCGTGGCCCTATTACAGTCCATACGTCATATGATGTCAGCGATAACGTAAGAGCGAACTAATGCGCACCCCTCACCACGCCGCTTCCTGCGTAAGGTCAAGAATGAACCACGTGAGTAGAAAATGGCTCGACGCATCTGGACCTCTCCAGCCGCTCGCCGCGTAAATGATGAAATTTATCCGCGTAATTAAAACATTTCATTCTGGCATGGCACCGTTTAAATGACCAAACGCGTAAACAAAAACCTCGTAAATCCAGACTATACTGTCCACACTAAACCACAGGATGTAGAGGTTTGGATTTTCTACCCTGCATTTAAGACGACCCATAATTGTGGGCTGATTTTTTTAAGGTTCAAATTCCGTCTTATACGCCGACATATACGGTGATGGTGTAAAATTATCATGTGTGCCAGTGACAAACTTTGTGCCTCAAGGCAGAGTGCTTGAACCAATGTACTATTTAGTGTTCTATACAAATGTTTGCAGGTGACACTAAATTATTCTAGAACAAAGGTTTCTGAAAGGCAGGTGGGGAATAAATGAAAGCAAGGGAGAGCTTCTGAAATCTAGAATATATAACTTTTATATCATGTCTAGACTTGTGACCTATTTTGGCAAGATAAAAGTATATTGCTAGTTGTCTTTGAGTGTGGGAAATCAATATGAATGTTCCATTCTATATACTTATAGAATTAAAAATTAGATTTGATGGAGAAAGGAGGAGGAAAGAAGCTGAATAAGATAAGGGATTGATGAGGATTTTGGTGATAGGGGATAAGGAAAAGATAAAAAGAGTAGAGATGGAGTGAAAGGGAAATACCTTAATTTTCCTCTTCCCATTAGTTTCTGATATCTGACATTGGCTTTTCAGTGTGATGTATGTGGCATGGAACCCATTTTTGGACCACGATGGCACTGTGTTGAGTGTCCAGCTTCTACAAGTGTTGATCTCTGTGAGAAGTGTGTCAAGACTGATTTCTCCACTGATTCACACAGATCATCTCACATATTGCAACCTTTTAAAGCACTCTGTATCCGAGATACCATGGTAACAGCCAACTAAAGAAAACCATGTGTTCACCTGAATTTACTTAAGAAGAGTGACACACATCATGATATTCAGCCTTTTCACATACACACTCACTGCTTATTTTCATTTTTGCACTCTGAGTATTCCTTGTAAATTTTTATCCCCAAGGATAGCAAATTTAATCCTTCTTTTCTTCCAATCAAATTACAGTGAACCCTCACTTTACGCGGTCAATTGAACCCACGGCGGCCCGCGTAAAGTGAACAACATAACATATGGGATTAATTGAAATAGAGACCGGGCCGACCCCCAAACTCCACTTTTTCAGACACAATACCTACGTTGTAGTAAAAATAACTTCTTAATTTTATGATGGTATGCACACACAATTAATAATTAAGAGAAATATCAATAATATTAGGTTTTTTAACACTTACATTAGTAGAAAAGATGGCTGGGCACATAGGGATGGGGGGTTGGTTCCGAGGCAGAGGGCAGATTATTGGCCCTCACCTGTATCACTTGTATCAATTGTATCACTATCCACCACAGAGGCTTGCAGGGTCTCTTTGTCAAACCCCTCAAAGTCCATATCCTCACTATCATTATCACTATCTCTGACTTGGGCCGGCTGTGGTGTGTGGCGGGTGAAGAACTCGGTAATGTTTTGATGACTGGGCGACCTTGTGTGCGCCCTGCTCGCGCCGCTCTCCACGTAAAAGGGTACACACACCGCGGAAAGTGAGCATTCCGGTTTCGGCAGGGTACCGCGTAAACGAGGAAACTCGTAAAGTGGGACTGCGTAAAGCGAGGGTTGACTGTACTTCAAACACTCCAATAATAATTAACTTATCTCCTTTACCCCCCCCACTTGCAACTAAAACCTCCTGTATGTCCTAATAAGTGGCAGCAGTTATATACAAAAGGACAGACTCATATTGCCCCTGACAGCCTCTTAAAGCACTTAGCAGCCTCACACAAACCTTCCCAACCTCAGTCAGACCCTAGCAAACCCATACAGACCCTTGGAGTTATGTACAGATCCTTGAATTTGTATAAACACTAATCTCACACAGCCAATAGCAATCTGAATAACGGAAAACAACCTCATGTAGCCCATCTTCACACAGCCACGAGCACCTACCGGTACACACAGTCACTAGCATCTTCACACAGTCACTAGTGACAATATCTTAGACCTAGTATTAACAAATAAAGAAAATATTATCAGAGATATCACAATAGGGGAAGAACTAGGGAACATTGATCACAGAGAAATCAGGTTTACCCTAAATTGGGAAACAAAAAATAATGACAATATGGTCCGAGTCCCAGACTCTCGATCGGCGGATTATGAGGGGTTAAGAAGGTACCTTGGTGAGGTCACCTGGGAACGGTCAGGTCAGATAAGTCTCCGGTAGTAATGGGCGAGGTCACCAGCCACACAACAGTTGATGACGACTATACTAAATTTATTAGTATACTACTACGTAAAGCACAAGAACAAAATATACCACACAGAAAAATTTGGTCAAATAAGAAGAGCCAAGGTGAATGACCAAAAAAATTATACATAACATTGGAATAAAGAAAGGAATTTATAATAAATTAAATGGAGGAGAGGAGCATTTCAGAAGGTATAAGGAACTATCTAGGAATGTTAAGAAAATGTACGGAAGGCAAAGAGGGACTACGAAATCAGGATAGCAAGAGAATCCAAGGCGAATCCCAAGGGACTTTTCCAGGTATATAGGACGAAGGTCAAGGACAAAGTGGGGCCTTTAAAGTCAGGGAGAGGGGAAGTGATCGATGATAGTGAGGAAATACGCAAAGCATTAAACAGCTATTTCTTATCAGTTTTCACAGAAGAATTTAACAAGGAAATGCCTGAGGTGGAACTGATATTTAGGGGAAATGTACAAGAGAAACTAAAGGATATCACTATCAGAAAAGATGATGTTCTTATAAAGATAAATAAAATAAAGAAGACAAAAGCCCCAGGACTGGATGAAATTTTCCCTCGAGTTTTGAAATTGTATAAGGAACAGATTAGCGGACCCCTCGTAAATTTATTTACAAAATCATTAGACACGGGAGTTGTGTCAGACTTGTGGAGACAGGCAAATGTAGTACCCATATCAAAAAGAAAGACAGCATCAGCGTCAAATTACCGGCCTATTAGTTTGACGTCAGTAGTGGGGAAATTTCTTGAATCAATTATAGCATCCGATCGCATTTAGAGAAAAACAAATTAATCTACGACTGAACATGGATTTACAAAGGGAAAATCTTGTCTAACAAATCTGTTGACGTTTTGTAGGAAAGTCCGAGATCTGTGGTCTCCAGAACGGTCTTGGTCTCAAAGCCAGTTTTTCAGGTGTCGTCTCATTTTCGGTCTTGGCTGTCTGTGGTTTCAAATTTTTGCCTGGAATATTTTGAGACTTCAATTTTGTTTGCTAATTTCCAGGTGTGGTTGAACAAATGTTTAAGGTAGTGGAGATGTGTCATCTAAGCCACTAATTTGCCATCGGTAGAAATTTCCTGGATTGCAGTTAAATTTCTTTGGCAAGATGACGCTTGCAACAGACATGACTCCAATTTAGTCCTGGCAACAGAACAAGGTCAAGTTTCTATTATTACTGAATTTGCCACCGATCATTCTGACTGTGCCTGCCTATAGTGCTCCTGTTTACCGTCTATTTAGCTTTGGAGAGATGATGACGACACCTCAGAGATGCTGAACATCAGCATCATGTATGTAATAAGCCTTCTCATTGTAAGGGGGGCAGTTTCTTCTCTTATCTTACTCATACTCTCTTGTCTTAGTTCTTTCAATTGTTCTTTCTACTTACTTCAGTTCAATGGTTACTACATAACCTCAGTTCTTTGGTAGCGTGGCGAGGTCTAGGACACATGGGTATTGTAATTCTGATATCAAGTCACTTTGATGGAAATATAGGTGGAATACTGTGGGAAAAATGAATACAGTGGGGTATGCTATAATGAATGGATTCTACTACGAATATTCCTATAATGAACGGGCTTACCTATAAAATTGAGAATGCTATAATGAACGAAACTCCTACAACGAAGTTTTTTTTTTTTTTTTTTTTACTAATTTATTGTTTTTTTTTATTACAAGTATTAATGATATTCTTTATTTCAGGGGTTTAGATGCATATTTATGCACTTTTTTACAATTTTTACAATTTTATATTATATTTTTCAGTGTTAAGTGGTTGTATTTGGGGGCCTGGAACGGATTAATCCTATAACGAACGAATGCTATAACGAACAAGGTTCTAGAACCAATTAGATTCGTTATAGCATACCCCACTGTACTCCTAAAATACTCAAAGAACAGGTTTATAATATGAAATCAAAGTGGGGAAAAATATATTATTAACATATAACTCCAAGGTACACTTCTCGGCTTTACTCAACTGCAAATTACTCGGATACTATACTCTTACTAAACACAACCTTACTGGTGTTACGTTACATTACAGTAACAAGGATCAATTCCTTGACTTCTCTCACATTACATATAAACACATGACAACTCCTTGGCTTCTTTTAACTGCCAATCGAAGTGGGTACTTACTTCATCCACATTACTGGTGATACATTTCATTGCATACATGACCAACTTACATATGGTCCCCTTATTTACTGTTGGTAGTACATGTGAGATGCACTCACAACACACATGTTATTGCTGAACCCAACTTGGGATAATTATTTCCAATTAATTATCCCCAAACACATACAACAACACTGTGGACATAAAACTTCCAGGGAGCATCCCAGGGTAGGACACTGGCGCCTGTAACACTGCCGACCGCTGTTATGGTCGATTGTAGGCCCAAATGCAAGATCAGCCGTGGTGTACACCATGCTATGGTATCCCGGCAGTCGTAATACAATGGAGTGAGAATTTTTTGATTATTCAAGATGGGCCATTGTGGTACCCGACTGTCGTTTGTTGTTACTACGTCATCGTAGTGTAGTCAGGTGTACCAACTGCCGGAAGACTTGGGGGTTGGTATGCTTGCATCCTGAAAACGTTGTCAGTGGCGCGAAACGTTTGCTCTTGCTACACGATTTACGAGCATAAGAACTTGAATCCCAAGCTAAGGTGCACCTCGTGTTCCTATTTTATTGGATTAAAAACCAATTCTGGGAATAAAATACGATCATTTACAGTGAATATAGGTAAATAAAGCCTGTGACATTCATAAAAAACGTAGGAATTGAGTGTAATATCTGTTCCTTTCTTCTTTATCGGTATTAAATCTAACAATAAAGTTATAAGTTTTCATGAACTTGGGGTTGGGTGACTGTAATAAAGAGAACTATGGCCTGTTCTGTGGATGAAGTCGGTAGAATATACCAAAGTACAGTATTAGGTTTTATAATTTTGTTATGACAGTGATGAACTCACTGTACAGATGAATTGGGATAAAATCTTGAAAAAATATCACCATAACTGTTAGTTTTCTGTCAAACAGGAAATTATCTTTATACCAAAATTTTTACTTTCATATTATACAAGGCCAGTTATGTACAAGATATGAAAACTTGAGATAATGTTTCCTCCTTTTCTCCACCTGATTATAGTAATGCAATAAATACCCTTTCAAAAAAACAAGACATGAATACTTTCCCAATGTCAGGAGTAAAAATGCATACAATATGTAAAGACATGGACCAAACCAGAAGTCGGAGAAAAGTCTCTGCTGTTTAAATGGTCTTTTATTTGGAAAAATATTACATGTAAATACTGTATATGGATCCTCACCAGAGAGCCTTCATATAGTTAGTGTGCAGACATTTGTTTTCAAGGCATATACTCAACTATTATGGAAATGAAGACATGTTAGGTTAGATTAGGTTCATCTTGTGAGCAAATGTCATGGAACCCATATACAGTAGGTATAGTCATGAAATTCTACTAACTAATCAGAGACTAATAATGTCAAACATAGAACAAGATGATAATTAAATGGTTTAAAAATATACTCAATACAGTCTGCAATGTTAATTGCAAATCATTCCTGCATTTTTTAATGTGTAATATAAACTGTAATCATAATAAGGATAAGAATACAATGATAATGCTTATTTCAGAATATAGCCTTTATTAAAAGCAGGATATGTTATGATATATGGATGATCAAGAGTAAAGTATTTTAAAAGAAAAAATCATCCACAAATTTCACAAATAAATGAATACATAATATCCACGTATGTTTGCAGAGTGTAAAATAAAAAAACATAATAATTAAGGCATACAGTAAGTTATGATTTCTCCAAGGTATA